CCCCCAGCCACTCACACACTCCTGGCAAGGTCACCTCAGAGCTGTCTCCAACCTGTTGCAGCCCTGCCCTCCACCCACTTGACCTTCCTCAAGTCCTGGCATGAGCTTTTAGGAGGGAGTGTTTCACCAGGGCAAGCCTGGAGGGTCTGCACCCCCTTTTCCCAAAGCTACATCCCACCGCCCCCCCTGCCAGGTGGCTCCATTGCTCCTGCAGAGCCAGGGCAGTTCTCAGGAGCCCCACCACCCTTTGCCCTGGGTGGGAGCAGAGCCTGGGTATGCTCTGGACACCCCCGACATCCGAGGCCCCCAACATTGCAGGTTGCTGTCACGCACATGGGCTGCTCCGCTTCAGAGATGGGGGCCCCCAGGCACAGACCCCCCTGCTCTGGGGCTCACAGCACCCCTTGACAGAGCTTCAGCACAGCCAGGGACATGGGTGGCTGATGCAACAGCTGCTGTCCCCACAGCTCAGCACTGTCCCCTGGGCTTTGACCAGAGCTGGGCATGCCACTGGCACAAGAGACCCCTGCAAGTGGGGCCAGAGACCAGATTTCACACCACACCGAGGTCCCAGGAGCACAACTCCCACCTAAACCCAACTGCCCACATCCCCTGCTGTGTCCCCATCCCAGAAGGGGATACTTTTTTTTGGCCGGAGACCCCAGCCAGGCAGGCTTCGCCTCCCCAGGCCCGGCTCAGGGAGCTCCCCAGGAGCTGCTCCCCCAGACCCCAGCCTCATCCCAGCATCCTGGGGCAGACGAGTGGGCTGCCAGGCTCGGGCAGAGACAGCAGTTGGGGGGCACTTACGAATATGGCCAGGTTGAAGAGGATCATCATGACCTTGAGAAAGCTGAAGAGCCCCATCTTTGCACCCGGAGAACAGAGAGAATTTACCGGGGGCCCCCCCAACCCAAAACAGCCTCTGCTCTGCTACGAGCGGGGCTTAGCCCCCCTCCAGGGGAGTCTGGGGGCTCCCCATGGGCTGGGAGGGAACCCAAAACCCCCGAGCCCAGCCTACCTGAGTGGAGAGCAGGTCCCAGAGCCGCG